TTTCGACAGATGCGCGAACATTTTACGAAACGTCGGGTTCTTTATGTCTTTATAAATATATTTATGTATCGATCAATACGTAAATGGAAAAGAGGAATCGAGATTGAAAGATCTGCAATGTTGTCAGTTCACACAGCTACCTAAGATACGAACGAAGCAAAGAATTAATTATTACTTGCTGTTAAGTAGAATCGAAAGACTGATCCGTATTCAGAATTGATATTTTGGCCGAGAAGTGTATCTTTTACCAAGTGATAATTGTTAATTGAATTGTTTTGGAAGCTGTTTCTTCCAGTGTTCAATGAATTTTTAATGCCCTTCGTGAATCGTTATTTCATTGCTATCCTTTTTTTTTTTTCTTTTCTTTTCCTTTTAACGATCATTTGAAACGGAAAATGCGTCGAAACGTAGTTTCGATGCTTTTATAGATATCATTTCTGAATATTGATCAAAGACTATAAACTATTTTAAATTTAAGCGTAACGTCTAGTTTATTTATATTCAACTTATCGAGAAACGAATGTTTTCCATTTTATACGTAGAAAATCGTTCCTTTTATAGTCGACATATTAGAAATTTACGAACGAAGTTTTCACAAAGCTTGAAAGTAACTAGTGTCATGTTTAAATTGAAACAAAAAAACCGAACACTCGTCTAAATGTCTTACTCACCTAAATGTGGAGAGACGAAGTAATTACTTCTAAAATTTCAAAATGTTGCTTTAATCTTATTTTAATCTTATTTTCAGTTTACATAAATAACATTTTGTCAGAGATTAATCTAAAATGTAACATTGTACATTGTTATAAATTTTTGCGAATTTGCACTTTCTGATCAAATGATTAAATTTTACTTCAAACATTTTTCAAATTTCAATTTATCAAAGAACTTTCTAGTTTTGTGGAATTGATATTTTTATTACAATATCTGGGAGGAACTTTTGACCAAGTATTCCAGAATGAAAATTGTAGATTCATTCGAGCGAAGTATATATTAAAGCGTTGCGAGTAACGACAAGTTGCGTTACAATTGAACCGATGTTGCCTTTGAATCACGTGTCGGCGAAAACCAAGTGTCTTAACATGATGCCTTTCTTGCATAATTTATAGATGTTATTTAAATGAACAATGAGGACCAACGGACGAACGAATCGACGTTGCTGATTATCGAATGTCGATAATTAAAACACCAAACGAATACCTATTATAAATATACAGACAGATATAATGTAAATGTACCAAAATTCTGCAGGCCGCCGACAAGTAATAATTGTTTCGTACAAGTGTCTTCAGAGCTTGTAAATACGAATTTTTAATAGGATTTCATTTTTATATCCGTTGAAGCATAGTCTCTCTCTTTCTCTTTTCATGTAAGTTATAATTGGCGTACATTGTTATAGTATATTTCAAATACGGATTCGTCTAATTAATCGGTTATTGAACATCAACGTGTACTACTTGTTCAACGAGTAATTGCAAAGAAGACGCGACGAATTCGTTCGTCCTATCTCTTAAAGTGATCAGGTGCCTTAATTAGCACGAGTAATTTTAAAGGTTAAAAACTAGTCAGTGATTCGTTAGCGCAAAGCAATTCGCTAACGTGTGTATAGGGGTGAAACTTGAAAGGAGACGGAAAGACGACGAGGCGAGAAGTAAAAAGAAGAAAAAGAAAAAGAAAAGAGATAACTAGCAAGCAAGAAGGGAAACGAAGGATCAGGCTATGAAGAATGAGAGACTGTCTAGTCCTACCACCCTTCGGAATGAGGTTTACTCGATTCGTTAGAATTTTAAGTAGACGTTAATACGGACGATGAAACAGAAAAGGAAACCAAAAGTCTTGTAAAAAGTTAGCAAATGATGCTGTTAGGAAAGCTTAGTGTTAGATATTAATTATTACATAATCGTTCGATTAAGATAATAGGAAAATAAAATACTATCGATATTATCGATATATTATTATTATTATAATTATAATTATAATTATAATTATTATTTTATTATTACTATTAATTATTGATAATATTATTGTCATTATCGATTATTCATTATTGTTCATGTACTTAATGACGATCTGAAAAAAATACGTGTTCGTGAACGCGTGTTGCGAATCAGAAGAAAAGAAATCTTTTGTTGCGACACAATGAAGATGAAAAGCGAATCTTAGAGTTAAATCGTGATGAATGCGTATTTTCATCACGAATACCACTGATTCTTTCAAATCATCCTATACTCTTAGGATTAACGGTTGTAATATATCGTCTGTTATCTTTAATAATATTAATATTATACACTCTATTGGTAGGTTAACAAAATAAAACCGAAAGTGAATATATTGTCTCTAAGAGAAATAAAAGAAAAGCGAATGCGTCTTGGTCTTATGATAGATCGTGACTATTGTTGTCTGTTGCTTTCGCATGTCATCTAAACTCTTTGCAAGAGACGAAACCATGATAGAACATACTGATTATCGAAAAGTCAGAAAAAAAAAAAAGAAATAAAATCTTAATTTTCAGAAAATCATGTGTCATTTAATGGCATCCTCGTTCCAAAGATGTTTGCAAAAGAAATTCGTATGATCAATTAGTCTTAATCGAAAATTAATAATTTTGGTTTTAATTAATCTTACTAGTTGGTTAAAAATAAAGTGTGGAAGTTAGAAGTTAATATTCTTCTAATAACTGAAATGACTAAATAACTAAATTTGCTTGCACTTTCTGCTCTTTTTCTAAATACATATAAATTAAAAAACAATTTAGATATCGATTTTGATAGTGGGTGTCAAACATTCTTTTTCTCGAACCACCTGAAATTAGAATTACATTAGGTACATTATAAGTGTACTTAATGTAAAAATATATTTTTTATTTATTGTACACTTTTATTTTATACGTATAAGTACGTGCATCATGTATGGTTTCATGTAATGTAACTATATTGCCAATTTTTCTATTTTTTAATTTAAGAACACAGAAATTTATAAAATTTTATTCCTTAATTATACATATATTATGATCAGCGCAAATGTAACAAAGGATTATAAAAAAATATGATAGATGCATTTTCTTCATATTGAATGTACATTTTCTTCACTTATTTGACCGATTTTAACATCATTTTTCTAGCCGTTGTCATATTTTCCAAATGAATGTCAGTTATTTTAGTTATTAGAAGGTAGAATATGTTAGATATAGAAATTACTTCGTTGTGTTTGTATTAAACTTGAAAATTGCAAGTTCGAAGAATTTGAACAATTATTACATGAAAAGTCTTCTTAAAACTTGTTCTACAACTAATGTTGATTTTTATCTATTTATGGAAAATTTGAAGGTGCAAAAATGCAGGCAATGGATAGAATAAGCAAAAATATATAAAACATTCGATAAAATTTAGTAGATTAAACAAATTTCCACTTCTTTAGTTATATTCATAAAAATACAAAAGACACATAAAAATCCGCAATTCAACATTCAATAATCTGAGTCGATGACAAATTTATCTAAAAAAGGCACCGAGTTAATTTCTACATTTAGTATACAATTTCCAACCATTGTTTTTTGAAAACTACTTAACTTTGGCTAATCTTAGTTCCCCTAAACTATAAGAATCGTTCGTGATAGGAACAACGATTTACGCGTCCATCCCTCGCTATAATTCTCCTATTGTTTCACGACAATTTTCCTTTTCTTTTGGCGGCCGAGGTAAGTGACTTCATCGCCTCGATGGAATTCGATCTTGTCGTTTTTCGTGGCTAAAGATAATCTTAATGGCCTTGTGGAATTGGATGCCAGCGTCACGGCGGGCGCAAAAACGAGCAAAGGGGAAAACCGCCCTCGACGTCTAAGTCAGGCCCCAAAAATAACCAGCTGTGTGCTTTTTCGGAAAATAATTTAACGATTTGGTTTCCTTCATGGATTTTCATAAATTTGTCACCATTTGATGCCTCGTTTAAAAAAAAAAAAAAAACCTGGCTTTAATCCTTTGCGGCCTGGAATCTAAAAGTCGGAAAAGATAAGTGAAATTTTTAGTATTGTACTGAAAACTAATAATAATAATTATATTTGTAATGAAATATACGTGGATCTTGTTTTACACGTTTGGATTCGTTGAAGAAAATGATAAAAGATTAATATTTCAGCGATAAAAATTCTAAATAAAAAATCCTAATATTCCCTCATTCTAACATTAATGTTTAAAATTCAATAAAATAGTGAAAAAGAATGGTTTCGAAGTGCACGATTTGAAAATTTCAATTTTTCGAGACGACGACGATGTTTTTATCTGATGTTCGAATTTTTACAATTTTTGAAAATAAAAGTATCTTTATTTTTGATGATTTTTTTAAACGAAATTATAACAATTTAAAATATTAATAATTTTTCATTGTTATTGGTTTAATTATTCTCTTCACTAGTTGGAGATTTTTGGTAAAAGGGCAAAAGATGGTTTCTGATGAAAAAGCGATTTTTCGAAAGATAAGAAAACAAAATAATAATTATATCGTTAATTAAATGAATCTTATACAAGATATAATAATCTTTGATATCTTTTTTAAAAAAATGCGAGCAAACTTCTTACATAATTTAATAGATTAAGATTATCTTTGACTTTTTAATTTCAAATTAATAATACAACATTACGAATTATAGATATCGTGGATATCATATAAAATAACACATTGTGGTATAATAAATAACACATATATAAGAAATCTTAAATAAGTCTACTTCATAATTAAAGAGTATTTATAGAAAACATTGTCAAAATAGGAAAATTTCCTTTCTATTTTTCTGTTGAAAAATATTCTATTCTTCGAATAAACTATCATTTTCGATAATTGCCGTTTTTTAAAAAGAAGCAGAAGCATTTTCACATATTTGTATTATTCATACTAATTTTAGATTATTATGACATTTACATTTATACTATATATTATTGTTATTACACTCTTATTATTACATACATGAAATTCAAATATTTAATTTTATCATTTCGTCAATTACATAAAATTATATAAAGTAATTATAAAATATTATATATTCCAAATATTTTTCCCCATCCCGTTTTTTAATTTTGCACTTCAGAACTTTCCATAAACTCAAGTGATTGAAAAAAAAATTCTATCGCAAGTTAAATATTAACTTCATTTTAAGTGCAACAGTGCAGAATTTTACACGCACTAATTATATACATATTGGTAGGTGATAAAGTATACCGAAAAAAAGATAGCAAAGATACACGAAAGAAACAAAACGATAAGAAAAATTACCAACGAGTGTGAGAAATCGTCGCGTGTTTAGCACAGACTGCAACCAATCGTAACGCAGAATACCTGTGGAATCGGTGTCGACTGGTCATCGTTGGTAAAGATGATGAGATGTCAGCACGGGTGCTTCATTGATAATGTGTTTTCTGAATGACGCCCCGCTTATCATTCGTTTTGATAGAGAAATAGTAGGGGAGCATTGCCATTGACAGAAGAGCGAGCCTCAGTTATCCCGCGTTTATCCGCGTAAACTAGAGCGCTCATAGCGCTCGGTGATTTTTTTTTTGGAGTTTACTCGGCGGTCGAGGGAGGTCACGAGCAAGGAAAGACTCGAGGATCGCGATCCAGATAGGACTCGCGACCTGGAAGTCCTTCCTGAGTCCATGCGGAAGCACGTGGCCTAAGGTCAAGGTGAGACTAATAGAATTCTCGCGTGTCTTCGCTTCCTCCTCTTGCAGCACCGTCTGCAGCAACTACTAATGTTTCTATTACGATCGCTTATTTTTTTCATATGAATATTTTTTTCTGTTCATGCACTATCAATTACTGGAATACTTCGCCAGTTGTATATCGTATTACACGTGCTTTTATCGCAATGCAATATCAAATCGATCTCACGATTTTATTTCTCACATGGAAATTAATTCCTCAAAACGTTGAGATGTTGAAACATTCTTTCGATTCAGCGAAGCATAAGTAAAGGCCAGTGCGATCTTTTATTTTCTTTATTCGACATTGTTTGAGTAATTGATTAAACAAAGTAGTTCTATCACTTTTTAGATATGTAATTAAATGTCGTGAGAGTGAAAGGTATTTGTACGCGTTTCAATTTTGCAATTAGCGCAATTTTTTTTTTATCAGGTTCTCTAAATTTCATTTTAATAACATCAGATTTTTCTAATCCTATGTAAGCATTACTAAACGATACGCAATTTAACGTACTTAAAACTAATTAATTATTATATAAATGCTGTAATAAATACAATGATGCAAAAATGCTCTCTGTAGCCACTATATCTGCGATTATCGTATAATATTATGCGATACGTATTGCCCATTGTACTTAATTGACTAATTTTTTCGATTTTTTTTTTTTTTCTTTCTTACTACATTCGCTTAATCAGCTACTAATTTTCATTTTATCGCATAAATTACATTGCTGATTACGTAGTTCTGTTGACTAACTAAATTATTTTTAAATTAATCGATTGACATCTTGACATATTTAATTATTTTGAAAGTATCAGCACTCTATAAACTGATACGAAAAGCATAGTAGCTGATTATTATATCATCGTAGATGTCTTTTTACTCGACGTTCAGTTCACAACTGTTTACTGGTTTTTCATACGCTTTTTATAGTATAGTTTTATCATGCACACGTGTCGCGTATAAAAATGTTTGACTTTCAGAGTTGAAACACGTTCTTTTAATTAATTAATTGACGAAGGAAATACCTACGTGACATTACCTAATAATTTCGGTACCGAATTTATATGAATAAATTTATTCTATTTATGAAACTATTTACCATTATTGTTTAATTCCTTTCAACTTGTATTGATTTAAAATTTGCTAGAATAATTTATAGAATGATATGTAAATCTAGAATAGATTTAAAAAGAAATTTGAGAAATTTGTAGACTTACTCAGGGATTATGATTTGTAGAGAATTTAGAAAAATTTTTGAAATTTTTTTCAAATCGGAATTTTCATTTCTCGCGTCGAATTGTCTGCGTATTTCGACTTCTCTTCTTCATGCGAGACTGTGATAAAGTCAGATTCGCGATTCTTCGCGTGCTTCTTGTAGCACGCCGAGGCGGAAGTAACAATCGGCTGGAACTCCGTATTAATGCAGTCTCCGAGCGTCACAACGAAATCTATACCCAGTTAAATTGCAATTGCGTAATCATCTCAGGTGCCTGTGGTATACTCGACAATTACCAAGGAAATGGTTGGTAAATAAATCTATTACGTCGTTTGACTTTTCGACGTTTGCACATAGATTAAATGGAATTATTTCCTTTTCTTTAAATCAATTGCAAAGGAATTCGGCGGAGAAGAGAACGTGATTTTCACATCTGACGATTCGACAGTCTGACGTAGACTTTTATGCAATAATATTTACGTATCGTCACTGTCAAAGTATCAGCAAGTTTTGTTGGTAGATAATAAAATCTAATTTACGAAGTTCTTATGCGTTAAATCCTTACTACGAATCGTTTTCTAGTAGAATGATTTGCAAATTACGTTGTGGCACGTATTTCAATGCGTTGAGATAACAATAATAGTCATTGTTACGATGCATTTTACTGCGTGTTAAATTGCATTTGCAGGTTGTTTGTAAAATTTAAGGTATTTTGTAGAAATTGATGAAATTGTCACATGTTTAATTTATAATTTATGTATATTTATTTAAATTTAAAGATATACTTAAATATGATTAAAGCTATTAGAAATATCTTAATATGTACTAAAAATTATATTTAGATATATCAAAAACTTAAAGTTACAAAAATGCATAGAATGCATGTAACATAGAAAAATGTCCATATATAAATAAAATATCCAATATAAATATCCATATATAAATAAAATATATAATATTATATGATAATATTTATTATCTACAAATATACAAATAATATATATATATATATAATATGTAAAATTGTTGTTATAATATTTATAATATTTAAATAAAAAATAAGTCTTTACTTCCAACTTTTTGATAATGTTTATAAAAATATATCGTCCATTATTTCATTGTGTTTTGGAATTTCATTTATATTTAGTCAAAAAGATGTAGTGATCACGTGTGATATTATCTTATATCAAAAATATCGATAAAAATAGTTGTATTTATTTATGATTGTTTGTTTCAGGAAAGACAGATATATTTGATTATTTGGATGATAAGATACTTAACGATTAGAAAGCATGAATAATGTATATCTATACGTAAAATATAAACTACAAGAAAGGCTAGGGTACCGGAGTTTTTAAAACTACAGCTTATTTTTCATGTGTATTATTGTCATAATTCTTTCTCTCGTCGATTCTGTTATCATAATTAGATAATTTAATTGTTGTGTATTATACTTTGATAAAAAAATTTATAATGAAAGAAAAATACATCTAAATGTATCTACATATATCTAAATATATCTAAATACACCTAAATGAACATTTTTTAAATCTAAAAATAATATAATATAATTTTTAATTATAATTGTTGTTATAAATACAGTTGTATTTAAAAAGTTATAATTACAATTTTTGATCACTTTCCCAGTGATTATAATTATAATTATTTATTTTTTCAGATAGATTGAATTTTTACAAAGGAAAAATATTTCTAAACATTTTTAAACATTAGAATATTTATATAGAGAAATATTTCTAAACATTTTTAAACATTAGAATATTTATATAGAAGTTTCATAGACATTCATGCAACGATGTGTTTTCAAAGATTTGAGTGATTTTTCGTAAAATATATAGATAAAATCCTGCATTCTTTGTCACAAACTTTTTCTATTTCTTATATTTTTTTATTTCTTTATTAGCCATATATTATTTGTGTTTCAGTTATTAATAATTCTAGTATTGACTTATTTAAAATAATTAGAGCTGTATCTACCTTAAAAAAAGCCTAGATATAATTGCTTGTGTAATCATTACGAAGAAAAAAATATCTATACCTGTATTTAAACACATTTGAACATTTTTTAAAGTAATTAAGTCGTTTATTTGAAATAATATTAGAACCTGAATTTGAAGAAAGTAATCATTTTGTTAATTTCATCGATAAATTTCTTAACGTGGAAACAGAATGTAACGTAATGAAACAGATATGCATAGATACATTAGATATTTCTATCAAGTTGAGAAAAAGCAAACGAAACAATACCTAATAAATAAAGCTAGTGCTGCCAATCATTTCATGATTAAATGGCTTATAATGATAGATAACGGAGTTATCGCTAACTGAAGGAATTGTATAGAAAGAAAGAAGTTAATGCAATTATCACGATTGACCTTTTAGTTAGCTTTTTATTTCTACATATACACAGAGTGTCTTGCTTCTCGTGATCAACCGATTGGAAGGTGATTCTACATGTAAAAATTTCGAAGAATCAAATTTTTTTCATTAATGTCTTTGTTGATTTTGAAAAAATTGACTTTAAACATTTTTCAAGTATATTTGAATTTAGCTAATTCTAGACGTGGCAAGAAAAAATAATTAACGGAAAATTATTCTACGTAAATAAGTCAGAAGTATAGACTATAATTTTTTTATCCTCCGTTTTTGAGAAAATTCAATTTCGAGTACACATTTGTACTAAACATGTTCTATTCTAAATGTGTTCAAAATCTATTTGTTTGAAAATAATATCTTAAACGCATTCTTCCGAGCCAAGTTATACTTGAGGAATTTTAAAACTCGGTTTTCTTGAAAATGATGGGTTTAATGGAAAAAATTTTTTTTTCTCTTTTCGACTCATTTTTACATGTAGAATCACCTTCCAAACGGTTGACAACAGGTCTCGGAATAATAAACGTATATTTAATGCATATTACGTTTAAACTTATGAAATTATGTTTGTTATATGCATTGTCGATGCAATATAATTTTCTTTCGTCAAATCATTCGATATAACAGTTCTGTACAATGTTTTAAGCAGAAAAATTTACAAACAAAAAATTAAATTGGAATTAAATCGTATTATTTGTTCTGATAAAAAGAAGCAAATATATTTAAAGTTAAATTATTAAGAATCAACGCTTTAATGTAACCTCTCGTTCTGAAATATCTTTATGTTAATTTACACAAGTATTAATTATCAAAGTATATTTTTTTTAATTCTTGAGTGATATCGCTAGGCTACTTGCAATCATAATAATTTAGAACTGAGTTATTTAAATTTCATTCGATTTTATTTTACTAATATTTATATTAAAATACAAAATAAGATTAAATAAAATTTCAATAATCTAATGTAAGTTACTATAGTCACATATAATTTAATGATCACACTTGAGTTAATATTAAAGCTGTGAAATGAAATCTCAAGTATTCATTTAATACTTCTTATCATTATATTTTTTATTCTGTATTTTCTATATTCTATATAATCTATACTTTATAGCTTATATATTTTAATGATAATGATGTAAAGATATTAGAGAAAGAAAGAAAATAAAATAATGAAGAATTCATAAACTACTGTAATTATGATGAATTATAAACAATATAATTATAAATATAATATCATAATTATACAGTCAATTAATAATAACTATAATATTATATATTAATTAATTATAATATTATATATTAATTAATTATAAACAAAATGCATACAATAAATTAGTATTACCTAACTGTTATGATATATTAGTATATAACTGTGATCATGATAAACTATTTCGTAAAAATTGAATTTGCAAGCATGATAAACTATTGCTTGGGCCTTAAACTATTCCTTAACATTAAAACGAATGAATTAAATAACTAATTAGCTAGCTAGAAATTTTTATAAATTTGCAAAACTGTGTTTGCGATTTCAATGATTTTTCGTAGAATATACAAAAGTTAGTATTCTTTATTGTATCATAAACTTCTCTATATTAATTTCTTCTAACAAATATTACATTTAAATCGTCAATAATTTCAGTATTAGTAGTTAATAAAAAATATGTAAATCATTATAAAATTTTGAGTAATATATAAAAATATTTGTTTGTTAACATTTATCGTTATACCGTCAGAAAATTATTATCTTTACTTTTTAATGCATTAATTTTTCTACTCTTTATGCTTTGCATATAAAATTGCCTGTGTCATTTTTTTTACTTCAGATACAATACAAAAGATAATTTTAATGCCTGTGCAAATCACTATTAGATTATTAAAAAGTAACGTTGCATTAACGTTTCATTTGCAATTCCTTTCTTTCCATTTTGTTTCATTTTAATTAATTAATCTATTTTATGATATTAGAAGTATGCAAAAAAGTTTCAAGAGTTTGTTTAATATTTTCTCATCCTTATTCGCATTTCACCTAGGTTTTATAACTTTGTGTAATTTTTTTTGTAAAAAATCAATTCTTCTTAGAATTTTTTTGTTACAAAACTTGAAAAATTTTAAGAAATTCATTTATAATACAATTATAAATTATATTGTTTAATTCTTAATTAATTGCAAGTATTTATTTCAATTAATTAATAATTATTGCAAATATACTGTGGATGTCTATATATTTGCGTGAATGGTTTGAATGGATAGAACATATATAATACATCAAATACAAATATCCAAAGTATAATATTTGTTTCTGTATTTAATATGCCAAGTTTGCTGCTTACGTTTCATCTTTTAGTCGTATTTATAAAAATATTAATTTTAAACATCCGCCATCTAGTTATTATAAACACAGATTTAACAGATTATGAGTGAAATATAATAATACATAGATTGCGAATTTTTATGCAAATTTATATTTTTGAAAACATAATATATATCTATATACAATGTACAATATAATATATCGATGAAAAGTTGTTTTACATATCAAATACTGTAGTTATTATAGTGTATGTATTGTATGTATTTAGGATTATATACATTCTGTTTCGTTTCATAGTTTTTAATTTCCTATAAACGCATAAAAATTCATAATTTATTAAATACATAATTTATTATTATTTATCAGATTCTAGTTAATAGGACGTATGCTACTTTTTTTTAATTAAAATATTAATCCTTTGTAAAACGGTATTAATCTTTTACAAACAACTATCATAAGAATATTGAAATATGAAAAATCCATTTCTTTGAACTCTAATACGATAATTTTCATTTAATTTTCGTCATTTAATTTTTCGATTGTATATCTGTTAGGATACGATAAATGTACTTACTAAAAATCGTTTGCCGAATTTCAACGCTCACAATAGTCTTTGATAAGAACTACTGTACTGTATATGAAAATAATATAAATATAAAAATAATAAGAACGATCTAAAAATAAAAATAATATAACGATAATATATATATATATAATATATATAATATAAAATAATATATAATAATATATAAAAACGATAAAAATGCTCATATTTCAATGAAGTATATCTTTGAAAATAAATTTGAATAAAATTACAATTACCTAATCAATTCCGAATCTTAAATCAAATTTCACTACTATTTTATGAATGATTACAAAAACAGTGTTAACTAAACATTGAATGTCAAAACTAGAGAGTATTAAGAATTGTTATTGGCAATAAGAATATATACATTGTATAAATATACTTATTAATTGGCACTTGTAAAGGGTTAATCAGGAAAACTATATCATATAACATCCTCAAGAAATACATAACAGCATTGAATGTCGATTACTTTCTAGAAAATTTAAGAAATTAGACATGAATGTTACAGTGCAGTCGGAGGGATGAGCAAAGATTGTGGAATTTGCGGGATTTATCCCCGATGGCTACGAGATCGTGCTACCCCAAGAAATTTCATCGCCGTGTATGGCCTCCTCGGCACCGTGCAGGCGATGGCTTTTATTTACATCGTTGTCACCCTCACGACCCTGGAAAAGAGATTTAAAATACCTAGTCAAACAACTGGTAAGGATCTTCTGATATTATTTGTCTAATTTTTTACTTGATATTTCCCTTTTGGAAATTTCAAATTAATCTCTATATTAATTTCTCTATAATTTCAAATTAATCTCTATATCACTTATATTATACACTGCTTATTATAACAATTGTAACAATTATACTGTAACAATTACTATTGCTATTTGTTGAAAAATTGCAATGGCTTAACAAATGAGCACTAATAATTTTTCTTGATCAACTATATAAAGAAAAGTACATTTCAGATTCAAAAATTTAAATTGTTAATGGTTAATATTTTCTAACTAAAATTTAATAGCCCAAAAAACACATGTGATTTCCAAATTTCTAGGTATTGCAATTTTCTTTTGCGAACAGTGTAATTGTTGCTTGAATAAATGCAACACGCTGTTGAATACATCATAAACTCTAAAATTTAGGATAAAATATTCTATATGAAATAGTATTAACTGTATAAATAGTTATTAAATTATTTTTCTAATTCATTATTAGACTATTCTTTTAAATTGTTCTATGTGAAATAATTTATGACCATTTGTTTAATTCATGGAGTATTTTAATTTCATCTCAAAGTATCTGAGATATATTGCTGTTGAATAGATGTTGGATAAGATGTTGAAAAGTCATTAAAGATTTATAGCTGTTATTAAAAAAAATAAAAAAATATTTAATTATACAAAATCTAAGATTCTAGAACTAAAGTGATAAGTATATATTTCTTCATAACATATTAAATACAAGAAAAAAAATAAATGTAGAAATTTAGAAAGAAAGAAATCTTGTAAGAAAAAAGGATTGTTATTAATAATATTGATAAAAAATGTAGAATATAAAACTATTTCTTTTCTTTCGCAAACTATCTTGTTTGTCTTGTCTATCTTTCATTTAAATATCTACTTGTATAAACTATAAATCTGTATACATATTATGTATAAATATTCTTGTTCCATATTCTCTGATACATTCATACATTTTACTCATTGCAGTTTATTACAGATGAATAAATTAAGTTCACTAAGTATGACAAATAAACAGAATACCTACATTTTACGACAGAAATATTAATTTTAAAATTTATATTGAATTTGTCAAAAGTTTCAAGACACATTTTATACAAATTTCTAAATTTCACTTATATTTTATAATAAAATTGTTAATATATATTTATAACATTTCTACGTACTTTATTGTATAAAATATTATTTGATTTTCCATCTTTAAAATAAGTACATCTACATAGAAAATGTACAAACATATAGCATTTGTTCTAAGACTTTTGAATAAGCACCTTGTATACTATGAAACAATTTTCAAAAAGTTCTATAATTAATATAGCAATAACATAATTATTTAACCATGGATTTTTATACATTTTCGGGAAATTTAAAATTTCAGGAATTTACAAAACGCATGTAATATGTAAAAATATAAAAAATATTCAAAGTGAAACACTTGTTTAATGCTAAACAAATTCCTATTTAAATTCCGTTTCTTTATATTATATTTCTATTGTATTTACAAAATATAAATAATTAATTAATATTTATAAAATCGCATAAGCATCTACAATCTAATAGTTACGTCTTTTCTATATTTTAAACATTATTACACGCCGTAAAATTGAATCATTCATGCAATAATAATTAAATAGCTGCAAGCTATGGGAAGATTCTTATTTCTATTGCGATTTCTTCATTGATATCGAGTAGCCAAGTATTACGAGTTATATCAAAGTACTTGGACTTGCATTTGCACGCGCATATGCGCATTGTGTATTCGGTCTCGCGAAAGATAAAACTCGTGTCGGTGTGCGTTCGTCTAGTAGCTAAGTAGAGTGTCGTAATCGTAGAAGTGAGAAATCTGTCATTAGAGTGACGACTTCTGGACACTATGAAGACACACGAATATATACTGTTCTCTCATTTTGCTTTTACTGCAAGATAGAATGCCATTACTCGATTGCGGATTTATGGAAAATTGGATGTTACAAAAAATACACAATGCAAAAATATATAAAATATCTAAAATGAAATATATATTATTATAACGTATGTTGTATAAATGATACAATGTTTATTATAATATATAATATGAAATAATATATATTTCTATTTAGGTTCTATCTGCTTCTAAAATTATGCTTCTAAAAATACTTAACGATTCACTGTCTAGTCATTAGCAGTATACAGTTTTTGCATAATACGTGTGACAATTGTGTTATTTGTTTATTTTAAGATAACAAATTTTCATGTGACAATTGTGTTATTTGTTTATTTTAAGATAACAAATTACGAGACATATTTGGTAGAAGGTGAAATATCTAACACGATCACCTTGAATCATTTTATTGCCAATCGATTACGCTTAGTATTTAATTATCATTAAGACGAGCATCATATCAATGCAAATGGGCAGATTTTTATATAAATTTGTATTTTTGTACATGTAAAGAATGTGAGTTTAAGTAGAATTTATTTTATCCATTAGTATATGTTTAAATTCATCACCATCCACTAGAGTTAGTATATATTAAATATTTTATATCGGAGATCAAAAATGACAATTATGCTAAAAAGTTTTATGAAAAAGATCAGTAACAGAAACTTGTTTATTATTTAAGTTGAGGATATTAAATCTCAAAGAATTAAATCTTTTGTTTATATTTTGTTTATATTACAATCGTTCGAGATCGCTTATAATAGTTTCAATAGTTATTACAATCGATAAAATTTTGATCGTTCATAATATGTAATTATCGTTGAAAGAAATTCTACTTGACTCATAATAGTTATCAGTGAGGAAAATTTTATTTTTGTTGCTTATAATATTGTTTTATATTCGTCAAGTCCTATCAAATCCTCTAATAGTAATAGTGTTAGTTCAAGAAAATTGTTATTCTATATTTTTTTTTTTTTATTCTAATTGCAACAATTATCGCCCCTGTTTTTATATAATATATTATGTATATTTCGTGCATCACTGAATTTTGTAATGCACGAAAATCCGCAGTTTAAATATAAATGTGTACATATAAATACCATAAAAATATCTTTCTTCACCTAAACTAAAAAAAAAGTGATTTTTGAACACCTCGTAATACAACACAGATACATTGCAATGTTGAATATCTCACTGAACGCTATTATTTAAAAAAATAATCTCTTGATCAGTCCATTAATAATAATAGAATAATTTAAATTGATCGTCAGATTTATATGCATACATTTTATTTCTCACTTTATTAAATCAATAAAAAAAAAAATTTTGATTTCCTTAAAGGAAATAATAATGAGTATTGTGTAAACTTGTTATCGGGCTGGCGTGAATACTGATAATATTAATTCGATTGGTTCCGTTCGAGTTTCAAAATCGTACGATGTAAAGGAATTGATAAAACTCTCGTTTATTTCGTTCTTGGCTATTAACTGGCCTACTGATTGGAACATTATTTGCATTGTGAACACACAACTATATGAACGTTAATCATGTGTTACAGCGGCTGCTGTGAGAAATCGATACAACTCTTATGCACACAAATATTTAGCCAGCGATTATGCGGTTTTACGAGGTCGATGCTGGTTACTTCGATCGATCGATATTTGTACATATTCATTGGAATTATCGATACGAACGATATGTTTTCACCTATGTGTGGAATTTCGTAATTTTTCAAGGGCCAATCAGATCAATAATGAATTAATATAAAAATTACACACACAGGTAGTAACTTATTATTGGATTATATACTTTAATACTATCCAATAGAAGTTATATGTTAAGATAGCGGCACAAACGATGTTATGTTGTGTCATACATTATTAATTCACGAATTTTGTAATTTTTCAAAGACGACACGTTATTCCAAATTTTCTTTAAAGTTACAATGTTACATCGCAGAAAATGATTTATTACTGAATTATATTTTAATATTATCCATCTAAATTTATCCAAAAGAAATTTAAAATTACTCGCTTGTTACTTACAAAAATTGTTCATATAAATGAAGAATTTCTAACTATAATTACGTTATTAATAATTATTATTTTTCTAAAATAATACAATAATGTAATAATAAAATAAACAATATAATATAATATAATAATAATAATTGTTATTATTATAACATATTATTTATATTTATAATTTAAACTTAAAATTATTATAATTTTATGAAAAAGAAAATCGTACAACAATCCAATTGATCTCATTTTAAAGCGAAAAGCCTCTTTAGATAATCCCTGTTTCGTCTCTTTTTCAAAAATATATTTACATTATACATATACATAGGAAAAATAAAAATAAAATGTTTTCGAAAATTGTAAAAATTCATTCTTTTTATAAGCATGATCTCAGAAAGTGAAATTTTCTCGTTACAACTCTCAGCCTTCAAAATTTGCTATACAATATTTCTTCACCATTGTATTGAATTCTGAACATTTTGCATTCAACATTTTGACGACAGAAAGAAAAGTTAGGATTGTTTGAAATCTCCTTGAACATTTGTAAGAAATTCAAAGATACAGAGGCACAGAGAATTAATAATGGAAAAATACATGTATAAAATATTGAAAGGAAAGTGCTTCTTTTGACATTTAATAGCGGTGACAATTGGAAATCCGCAGTCTAGTTATAAGTTAAAAATTAAATATAGTTTCCACTGTATTCCTTCTTATATCATGAAATGAGAAATATTTGCCAGATTTTATGCAAGCTGAATTTATTTCAGGATTAATCCTTTCCGGCAATGAGATCTCCCAAATTTTATCCTTGGTATTAACCTACTATGGAGGTTCTGGTCACCGTCCAAGATGGATTGCAATCGGTGTCGGTCTTAGTGCTTTATCGTGCCTAGTCCTCGCACTTCCACACTTCCTATTCGGGCCAGGGCGAGATGCTTTGGCATTAACGAAGGAATACCTTGACCAAACTCTGTTGAATGCCACCACAGTGCCCCAAGATCTGGCAATTTGTCCACGTGTCATCAAACCGGACCGTTGCGACGAGGAAGCGCTGTTGGACGTTAGCATTCTTCCACGACTCTTGGTCTTTCTCTCTCAGTTTATCCTTGGAATTGGTACGACACTCTATTACGGTCTTGGTCAGACGTACCTGGATGATAATACTAAAAAGAAAAATACTCCAATGCTTCTAGGTAAATATTTATTGACACGTGAAAGTTATTCAAACTGAATAAGTTCAAAATCTTTTGCTAGACAATTCTAAACGGTCGAATCGTGTTACATGAAATACTCTGTACATTATTATATGTATTACATTTTAATATGTAATTCTTTATAGTTTATTGATTTTATAGAGAAGTGATATTACTTTTAATTATTAATCCTTCGCTTTGATCAAATTTGAGTAGCGTATGTATAAGAGGTAACACATAATGTAATATACAATTGTAAATAAATTTACAATTTAACGTAGGTGTAAAATACAAACAAGTTGTTAAATTCAACGATCATTTAAAGTTAAGATTAAAATCTAGATATCGACGCTCCAAGATATTAAGCTATAAATATTTCATATTATTTGATTAACATTTTTTTCGTTTCTAAATGTAATAATATACAATATGAACGAGTTTTCCTATTTCTTTTCTTTTCTAATTTAAACTATTTTCTATGTTTTTTTAATATTAAATACTAAAACTTATTATAAATATAAATATTATTATTCGGTACGTTTAATTAGCATAGTAAATTTCTCGAAGAGTTTTTTATTTACAAGAACTATAAATTACAACTCGGAATCGAAGAATAAATCCTTCATACGTTCGACGTTTCAGATTCAGCTCTTTTTTTAAACATTCGCGGAGGCAGCTTCAGACTTTTGCATAAATAAGTTTCCTGAAGACTTGGAAGTTTCCGTACATTTAATGAAAAATTGTCGATACTTCAAACTTTTATTAATTGTGTGAAAAAAAATCGTACGACAACTTTTAAAGGATCGTTGCAAGGAAGGATTTTAATCTTCAATACTATGGTGATATTTAATTATGAAAAAAACATTGTTCAATGTAAAAACATTTGAATTTGCAAATTTTTGAAAGGAAAAATATTTTTACTTTCAAAATAATGTAAATGTATATTTTTGAACGAATGAATTCAATATTGTGAAAGTTCATCTTCGAGCCTAATTGAATTGTTCTACAATTTTGGCAAAATTGTTGACAACAATTCAAATTGTCAGTCATTTTTCATCGATGAGTAGATTGAGTGTAGAAATACTGTGCCGAATAGAAAAATACTTGCTATATTGCTTTTAATTGTTATATGCGGATTTTTATATAAATTCATGTTTTTGAGGATTTAATTGAAAGAGTAGAATTACGATTGAAAACTATTTTACGTAGTAAATATTATACTATACTTTAGATATTTTATATATTTCTCTATATCATGTATATTTTGTGCAATTTAGTATTTTAAAATTCCCTATATAAATGCACAAACCGCAGTTATAATTTTATAAGAAAAGAATTATAATTTTGTAAAAACAATCACAGAAGAATCCATCATTTTACAATAACGATGTTTTGATCATTTTAAAAGATAAGTGAAGATATTCTTTCTCTTCAAAGTTTTCAAAATTTGAAAGTCTTTATTGAAAATATTTTTTTTATAACTAAATTTATTATAACCTTGAAGATATTTTTTCACAATAATCTCTTAAAATTTGTATAATTTTTTTTCATGAAGTTAATGAGAGTCTGAAATATCAAACAATTTTTCATTGAGCGTACGAAAACTTTCTGCAGTCGTTGTATATGATATTTTAATAATTTTAACAATATTCATTTTTAATAAATAAAAATTGAAATATTCGATAATAGATTAAGATTGCTTAACACAGATATGTAAAATGAACTATAGCTTTTGATAAATATTTACCAAATAATTTTATCAGTCAATGCATTCAATTTATATCTATAAATCATTTATTTTATCGAAATCTAATCTTACATGGTCGCAATAATTTCACTTACCTCATCTTGATTCTTTTTAATCATAAATATTTTGGAATGAATTTCTAGGAAAATTTCAATTAATGTGTATTTAAAGTTAAATATCTGTATGTTGAGATATTAAAGTTTTATCAGGATTTTATCAGGAACGACATAATATATAATATGAAAGATATTATAATATTTATTTTTCAGATTTTTATTCTGAAATATATTAATTTCTTTGATAAAGCAGTGAAACAAATTGAATATAAAACAAAGACTTCTAAAATTATTTACATAAAATTTATAAACTGCAAATAGTTGGAACATGTACATTTTAATCTTTAAATACTTATTGTTATAAATATTGCTTTATTGTACATATTTCTATTTATAGAAAAACTGAATTCACATCCACATCTAATTCTTTTATTGTTCCAAGTTTTCAAAAAATATACAAAAATATTAGACAACTATATAATACGATGAAATCTTTATTGTATTATGCAATCATTAAGTTTTTAAATAAACATATTAACATATTAAATTAATTATTATGTTTTAAACAAACATAATAACATATTAAGTTTTTAAATTAAATCTTTAAAAATTTCCCAAACGACTAAAAGTTTGCTTTGATGAAATTTTAATTATATTCTTAACAATCAAATAATCAAATATCTGTGTCACGTGTATTAAAAGGAGAAAAAAGACGCAAATAAATTTACAATAAATAAATAATATTTAGTTTGATATATAATATTTAATTTTCTAAATGTAATTATATTTCTTTTTAGGCTTTACTTTTGCTCTGAGAACTATTGGGCCAGCAATAGGCTTTCTACTTGGTTATGGTTGCCTCAGTTTGTACATAGATCCTAGTCTACATCCTGTGATTACGAAAAAGGATCCTCGATGGTTAGGTGCATGGTGGCTCGGTTGGATTATTTTAGGTGCCACCATGGGCATGTTTTCTATTCTCATAGCTATGTTTCCACGAAATTTACCTGCTGAAAAGAATATTGCAATCGACACTGCCAGAAAGGTGAAACATGTAATTAATATTATAAAATCTATTACGCATTGGTCGAACTTAAATAAGAAAAAGAATAACTTAAAAGCTACTCCAAAACTTTAATTTATGATAAGAACATTATTTATTAAATATTGATTAGTAAATTGCGGATATTTATGCAAATGGAAGTTGGGTAAAGAATCGAATGAATGAATGAGAACAGAATGAGATAGAGAATTATTTTATTTATCGAATGTTATAACTACAGTGCCATTATATTATTTATAACTAGAGTATTTTGGATTTATATGTCTTACGTTATATGTATTTTATAATTGCATTACTCGAATTCTTTACAAATATCTGCATAAATATCCGCAATTTATTTATCAGTAATATTTCTAAAATTCTTTGAAGTTAAAAAATATAAATTGTTTCTTAATGAATTGGTGTTAAATTACTATTTTAAATAAAAATTTTAGAAATTATTTATTTTTTATTCAAAATTGAATTATTATTTAGAAAAATTTTAAAAACTATTTCAAATAAAAATTTTTTAAGGATTTCAACATAATGTTTATACGTAATGTATGTACTGAATTTAAGATATTTCTTTTCGTTTCACATTTTTCTTGAGATATCGAACGTGTATTGATTGAAGATAATTCAAATCTTTGTAAAAGAAACACGTAAGTCAATGAGGGATTTGAAGAGATAAGAATGAATTGAAGAAATTATTTTCCAGAAATTATTTTCTATTTTTTTACCAGTATTATCTATTTAATTAGTAATTATTTGTATGCCTGCAAATCGCTTTTTATTTTCTCAATAATTTGATAATTTAATTAATTTAATTTAATTTAATTCAATGTATGCAATTATCTATATCAATATATATATTTTTCCCTTTATAATATTTATTTAATAGTGAATCTTATATA